GGCCCCCCTCCCCCCCCCCTCGGGAATACCCCTCGGGGTTGTTTGTAGTTCTCACTACCCCAACTATCACACACACCCCCAAGTATGGTCTCTCTCTCCCGCCCAATATCCAACTGCCCGCCCCCCCCTCCCCCCTCCACGGGGCCACAACAACAACAAGAACCCGCCGACCCGCCCACCCACCCGACCCATACACACAGGGCTTCACGCTGTGCAACTTCCTGTACGGCCTCCGTAGCCTCCGAAACCTCGTGGATCTAGATTTATCGGGTTGTGCGGGACTGACTGATTGGGGCCTGGCACTGCTGGGCCGCTGCTGCGGAGGCGGGGGGGGAGGAGGGGGTGGTGGTGGGGGACGTCTGCTGCGGCTCAACATCAGCGGCTGTGGGGAGCTGGTGGGCGATGTGGGGGTGGCGGCCCTGGCCCCTCTCATGGTGCAGCTGCAGCTTCTGAACCTGTCCTTCATGGACAGGTGTGTATGTGTGTATGTGTGTATGTATGTGGTATGTATGTGCGTATGTATGGGGGGTTGGGGCTGGGTTGTATGGGGCGCAGGTGGGTCGGCGCTAATCGGGAAGATGGTCCGGGGTTTTAGGGCTTAGGGTTGTGTGCATGTGGTTCGCTGTGTGTGCACACGCGGGTGTTGGGGCCCCCACAGGGGAATGTGCGGAGGGGGCGGAGGGGAGCGGGGAAGTCTGTTTGGCACTAGTTTATTGGGGGGCTGCTTACTGGTAGACAAGACCACAGCAAGCTCACCGCACAACCGGCCCAGAACTACCACCACCACCACACCGACCCCTGAAAGCTGTCTGGCCCCTACCCCTACCCCTACCCCTACCCCTACCCCTACCCCTACCCCTACCCCTACCCCTACCCCTACCCCTACCCCTACCCCTACCCCTACCCCTACCCCGCCCTCTGCTGCCCTGCAGGCTCACGGATCGCGGTCTGTGTGGATTACTTCGCAACGGGGCCCCGACGCTGATGTCTCTGGCACTGGAGCACTGCCCCCTGGTGCGAGACGCGGGTGAGTGGCCAGCTGCCGGTGTGTGTGTGGGGGGGGGAATGGGGCCGAGCGTAGCTGGGGTTGACCGGCTGGTGGTGAGTATCTGTCCAGTACCGCCACCACCATATCACTGCTTCCCTCTACACACATACATACATACATACACAAACACGCTTAGACGGCTCTTCATTATACACGGGACAGGATGGTTATGTCGTGATATGGTGGTGCCGTACGGTGGTGCCGTACGGTGGTGCCGTACATGCATGCATTCCCTCAGGCATGCAGGCTGTAGCAGCCAGCTGTCCCGCGCTCCAGCGACTGAGTGTGGAGCACTGCGGAGGGATATCGGGGGGGGGAGTGGCGCCGCTCCGGAACCTGAGGGAGCTGCGGCGGCTGTACGTGGAGGGCTGCAGTGCGGCAGTGGTGGCGGCGGTGAAGGACTGGCGGGTGGCGAGGCCTCGACGGAGCTATGCGGCGGCACGGTGGTGGCTGGCGCCGCCGCCGCCGCCGCCGCCAGCAGGGCAGGGGGCGGGATCCAGCGGTGGCGGTAACGGTGGTGGCGGCGGTGGCGGCAGCGTCGGAGGATTTTGAAGGAGAGTTTGAAGGAGAGCGCTCGTTGGGATGTCGTACTTTCGATGTAGATCTTTCAGCTATGAATCTTGCTGTGGGAGCGACTTGGGGCCGGGAAGTGCAACTGGGAACGGCGAAGGGTTATTCGGAGGCTGATGGGAGCTGAGGGAGCTGTAGGGGCGTCCTAGGGAATTTGGTCTCAGTCGACCCCAAGCGGGTGGTCGGGGGGTTGGGCTGGGGGGGTTTCCCGCCCGCCCCTGCCCCCCCCCCCACGGGGGGTTTGAGTGGGTGGGCTGACTGAGGGCGGCCACCTGAGGGGTGTTGTAGGGCCCTCAGGTGGAGGGAGAAATCGGGAGATGAAGGTGGCGGTGGCGCGGGTGGGGTGGTCTGTTTGGCATCTCTCGGTGCGGCTTTCGGGGGCATTGGGTCGTGGACGCCATCCAGACGCGGAGGAGGTCTTATCTGATCTTACTTATAAGGCGAGTGGGCCCGCGGGCGGGCAGCCTATCTATGCAGCCGGCAGGTTGGCCGGCGAGTGTTGTGTTTTGAGTACGAGTACTTGTGGTGGCGGTGGTCGAAGTTGGTTCGCATGTTCCTGTGGCGTATTTGTGGTCTTGCGTTGTACGGCATATCAATCAGGTATGTATGTATGTTTGTTTGTTTGTGTATGCTAGGTGTTGTAGGAGGTGTCCCAGCTGTGTCCATGTGTCTGCGCGTCTGTATGTCTATGTGTGTCTATGTGTGTGTACGGTGTAAGTGAAGCACTCCACGCTCAGGAAGTGTAGAGTATGGTGGCTTTGGCCTTGGTTTCCTCTGCAATTGTATTGACCTTGTATTTTATAAATGGCTTTGCGCCTGGGCTGACTTCTTGAGGAGTCGGCGTGTATTGATTGTGTGCCTGCGAGGAGGCAAGGGCGCACCAGTGTGCGTTCGGAAGACGGCTTTCCCTTCTTACGTCTGTTGGCCAATAGGACGGCCAATAGCTGCAAAGAGCACTGCGCAAGGAGATATCAGCTTTTGTACATTTTAATTGCGTACTTCTGTATGCTTTTACTTTGATAGAAGGCTCCTTTGTTAACGACCTAGGAGATTTCTAAGCGAGAAGGAGCGGGAAAGATGTATCTAAAATGGGGGCCGCGACGGGGGCAGCGATGTCGGGCTTGACGAAATGGTCGTTGCCAGAATAGTCTTGCCTTATCCGGCCAGGACCTCCCGTTTGTTTGGTACCGGATAATTTCATGATGGGGGTCTGTCGTCGCCTGCAGGTTTTCAGGTTTTCAGGTTTTATCGTCGAAGCGGCCTAGCTAGGAAATCTTTAGAAGCGGCCGGATCAGTTGACGCCGCGCGGCGGTGGGGTCCGAGCTCTTGTCCTGTGACAGATGCAAACCTTGGCAGCTGTTTTTTACTACTGCTACTTACTTGTTGGCTCGCTAATTTGGAAAGGCGTTCGAGGCGCCCATGAAACGGCAAGCCCTTCCAACGGTTTTCATCCGCTGCAGCGCCCCCGGAATGTAAATCTGCACACTGTGACGCCGAGAGGTGCCCATTACACGTTGCTCGTCCATCGCTCCGGAGACAAAGTTTTGACGATCCCTGACCCGAATACAGCGTTCGTACACATCCATCCAAAATGTGAACACACAGTGGGACGCTCGAATACACGCCGGATTTGCAGGGGCTGTCTTGGTCACGTCTGTCGATAAGTCCTATGACCGCCAAGCGCCGGACAAGAGAAACCCAGTTCGGCCCCCCGTCAAAACAATATGCCTTGTGTAGCAGTGGCACTCGTGCGGTGGCTCCTCACCCAGTCGCTGTTCTCATACTCTTCTGTTCCCAATCCTTCCTTAAACCCCCGTGTTCGTATCCCGATCTCAATCTTACTACTTAGCCCATGTTGGCTACTTCCTCCGCCTGGCGCAGCAGCTCCTAAGGATCCAGTTGCATGCCTGAATAGGAACGTGGCCTGGATGTGACCTGACCTCGCACGGCGGCTTGCTACATCGTGCAGGAAACAGGACAGACGCGTTTTGGTGTTCACAGCTTGGGCAGGCTCTGTATCCTAGCACAGATGCCGCCCCGCGCGATGCTGCACTTATAGCGCCTCCACTTCCGTGCTGGGACGCAAGTCCCGGCACCCGTGGGTAGCACTTCCACTTGCGCATACAGGCCGGCGCCTCCTATGCTGCAGATTGCGCGCTACCATCCTCCTTCACGCATGTTACATGCACGGCAAGCCACTACCGGCCACCAACGGCCGGTCACCCTACCAAGCCGCAATAAACGCAGCCAGCTGCTTCATCAGAAACACCCGATGATTAAGGCTTGATGCATTAAAGCAATCAAGTGGAGTTCAGATCTATTTGGGTTTTCCTATGCGCCCTCCGGATTCGCGCCCTGAGATACTCCTCCGAAACCATGTAATTTCCAAGCCATGATCTCGGACTATATATGCGACCTGTGCAACATTATTGTGGTGCGGATCCTTCATGACCTCCTGGTTAACATCTTCCTTAACTGTGCGCATTTTCTACTTCAAATTGCACCTAAGGGAGGTTCGGACCCGTGGGCCGTACTTTGGAAAGCAGCCGCACTCAGAGCGCGTCTCCCTCCCACGAATCAGTCAGCCTCAAAGTGCAATGTTTGTCCTGATATTCTCTTAGCTGGTGAACGCAGCAGCATGTCGCCGCCCTTCTGAGGGTTTTGGATTGCGTCTTAGCTTTCTTTCACCTTGGCCGTGTTGCGCTCTGCACTCCTCACAGCGGACACACTTCTAATCTACCTCATAAGGCATATTAGTTTTGCCTTGTTATCGCGGCTCGGTTAGAGGACCTATTTGCTGAGGCTTGCTATGGCGACCAACGCGACTACCGAAGACGCCGCGGCTGTCGCACCCGATCCCGAAGACCTGCTGGAAGGCTTTGCGGTGGTGGAGACGCCGCCTGCTGTAAGCTCTCTCCGCAATATCACTTTCTGAACCTTTCTGCCGTGTCCCAAACGCCTTCTTGTCTGCGATCTGCAGCAAACAGATAATGTGTGAAAGAGATATCGTTTGGCTGTATTCCTGGAAAAATAACCCATTTAGCTATTAACGATTGGCGATTTGGGAAACAAGCTTAAGATACCGCGTCTGGGGCTCTCTAGGTCCCCTGCACCCCGTCGTAAGCGGGTATTAGCACATTTGCACGGTGGCGCCTTCAGCGCGGACGACTACGACCTCTCCCACGACCTCACGGGGGATTCGCTCCCTCCACATCTGCCCGCCTCGCGGCTCATTAGGGGGGGGCCATGTCTAGCTGTCTTTGCTTCCGCCGCCGGAAAACCCGCCACACATGCTTTTCCCTTTCCCCTTTCCCCTTTCCCGACCAAATCAATTCCCCTTCAATCCCCCCATCCCGCCCAACCTCCCATTCCGCCGTCTGTTTCTGCCATGCTTTCCCGCGTCCATCTCTTCCCCCAACACTCACATCTCGCGCCTTTCCTCGCGCCTTTCCACGCATTCGCGTCTGGGTTTCGCCCCGTCCTAGCCAACACCTTTGCACCCCTACTCCTTGCCACCAGCAGAACTTTGTTTTCGGAGCGAGCGGACCCTCATCAGCACCACAACTCCACGGGCTGACTAAGGCCGTCATCAGCGCCGCCGCCTTCACTTCCGCTGTCACGTCACGAGGTCCCCTGGCCGGAGGGTCCAGACAGACCTCGGCTTCACAGGCACTGCCGTCGCCGCCCCGTTCGCCAGCCGCTGGACCCGTTACGCCGGCGGGAGGCGGCGGCGGCGGCGGCGCCGCCCGCAGCCCTGATGGCGACGGCTCCTCAGCAAAGGTCGACCCCGCCATGATGGCGACGGTCCCGGTACCCGCTCCTCCTCCATCGCAGCCCGTACACACAACCGCAAACACCGCGACAGCCAAGAGCTCCAGGTTGGTGAGACACACGTACGTACATATATACACACGCACACGCACACGCATGCGACGTACCGTGCTCCTCGATCTGAATGGCAACACGCTTTTATATAAAGGGCACCGTACAAAGCCTGGACCCTGGACTCTCCGCGCGGGGCCAAACCCCTTGGTCTCTCTGCGGCCCCGCCAGGTACCCGCACGGCGGGAACACCAACGCAACCGCCACGCAGCCTGCGCGCCTTCGGCGACCGGTATCCGCCTCCGCTGCCGCGGCGGCGGCGGCGCGGCGTGCCGTAGTGGCGCTGTCTGCGGCATCCCTGCTGGTGGTGGCGGGGGCCCTGTGGGCTGCCTTCACCATCAGCCGCCTGAAGGCCGAGCTCCGTACTGCCCGTGAGCAGCTGACGTCACTTGGCTCGGATCTGTCGGAGGCCAGGGAGCAGTGCGTGTTGGTCTCGCAGTTGCGCGAACTGCGGACCGGGGAGCTGCCGACGCCAGCTGCGCGCCGAGATGGGTGCACCATTTGCTGAAAATTTGGATTTCGTGAGAAACTTTAGAAATTTATTAACTTTTTTTTACTGATCAATTGGAGGTTTGACTCCATGAACTAGATCCTGAGTTTGACGAACTGAACTGACTGGGGCTTTGGCGGCCTCTGACGAGTTTGACTGATCGTACTCGCCGGCGCGGCGGCGTGGCTTGTATGGCGACCTCCAGCCCGATGTGTAAATGGCTCCTCCTCGGGGGGTTTTCCCGAGGGGTGTGGGTGGGTGGGGTGGGAGAGGCGGGAGTGGGGAGGGGCGGGGCCCTGTGCAGTGCAAGTGATGGGAGAAGTGGATATTGGGTTCTGTCTTTGTGCTGTAAGGCGTGGTACGGCACAGTACAGTACGGTACGGTCCTGTTCTATAATGGATACCTAGTTTAGAGCTTAGTTAATTGTTTTGGCTGCCGGTGTTTGTTCAGCCCTCACTTGCCCGAGCAGTGGTGGCGGTGATCGCTGCTGCTGCCGCTGCTGTACTCTTGGCTGCGGAGGGTAACAGTTCGGGGGCCGCCGGCGGGCGGCTGCTTGAGGAAATAGTAATAATAATAGTGACGCCGCCGCGGCCGTGTTTGAGATGAGGGATGCGTCACATTCCGTACATTCGGTTGGTTAGTTGGTCAAGAATGGTTGTAATGGAGAAGACGCCTCGGATTGGCGCCGGCGGACGGCCGGTGTTCCGTCGTGATGGTCGGAATGCGGCCACTGATTTGCAGAACTGATTTCCTAGGATCCTACAATGTGAGGTACGAAACCATCTGGTCGACGGTGCATCCCTCCCGCAGCCAGATGGTGCGGTTTTGGAGCCGTCCGCGGCATACGTCAGTATATAAGTTCTTCAGTAGTCATCAGTCCAGGGGAGTGTCGCGCAGATTGATGGGTAACACCGAGCGCCGTGCAGACCTATGTAGTCATCAGACGACGTAGTGGGTGGCGTTGATTGAAACGTTTGTTTGTCGCTGCTCAGCAACGGCGGCTCCCACATCTGAACATCTCTGTTGGGGGCGGGGTGGGATGGGGCGGGGCGGCCGCTGTGGCGGCGTCTTGCTCAGGACTGATCAGTCGGCTCGCTCGTGTGTGTGCGGGAGGGTCGCAATGTGGCGGACGAGATTGTAACTGTGCACACGTATGTACGGATGTATGTAGCGATAGATGTAGTTTGTAGGGGGATTCGTTTCACTGTGGGTCGCTGTCGGTGTCGGCAAGACGTGACAAGCCGTGTATTGCGCAACCGTCGTACGCGGAGCATAGGTTACGATCCACTATACGCTAAGTAAAAACATGTGTTTCCCTCGCTAGTGACCAAAGATTCGGGTCAGTTCATCCACAACGCATTATGTTGATCTGGGGACAACAGAACACCGGTTCACGAGAGGAGGGAGACAGTTGCGGCAGAAAAGAAAATCGCCACGAAGGAAAGGAAAGGGGTGATAGAAGGGGCCTAGAGGAGGGGGCTGGCGCATCAACCTGCTCCGAGAACGGTCCGCACCAAAAACGCCTACCCTAAACTAACGACGCCCACTCGGGGCGCAGCTCTCAAATCTACAGCCGGGACACGAACATGAAACAGCGCGCCCGGAGACTCCACTCCAAAAGGAAATGTAGGAAAAGGAACAAACTGCGGATTGCCAATCAACCTGAGAACAGGTTGCGAGATGTTTGAGAGGTGTTTTGATACGCAGGTACGAGCAATACGTACGGGTACGAGGAATCCTGCACGGTTGTCAATCTTGGGGCCCGCTTATGTTGGCTGAAGTCTTGGACGAGCTCAGGAGGCTGACTGATGCGAGTAACCTTGCGGAGGGGCCCTTCGAGGATTGTCTGAGGGATGGAGTGGTGCAGCTTTCAGGTATCGTTCATGCGGCACAGACCAGGGGAGCTGCCAGACCAGCGCACCGCCTCCTGTTCACTGAATTTTCACGCCCACCTTTACGCTACCACGTTTTCAAGCAGATTGCGAGGTTTTGGAACCGTGTCCGCTCACAGCTTGGGTCTGCCGTACGCACGTGTTTTGTCGATGCCACAGTCGTATGACGCGACTGCGAGAGAAATCGTAGAGACCTCTCCAACTCCGAAGGGGACGGATGGGGGTCACTAGTCCTCCGTTTTCCGAGTTTTCTGGGGCACGACGTATGGAAAGAGGCCCCGCAAGGGCTACGTGAGGCAGATGAACGAATGGAATGGCTAATGTATAACCACTACCGGAAGGTGTGGTATCGGAGCTCAAGGATCGGTTGATGAGCGGTTGGACGCATACGGGTCTAGACGTCCACAAAGACGTGTATCCGCCAGACGGGAAGCAACCAGGAATCCACATGGCAACCTAGAATTGGATGGCTGCTGAGCAAGCGGGCAGGAAGGAGGTGCTCCGGCATATCACAACGTTGTTGTGGTAACGCACGAGTGACATGCGAAGTGTCACGTGCGAGAAGGACTCTGTTACCCAAAATAACGGACTAGGGTTCAGCGGTCGTGATTGACGAAGGGACTTCGCCCCGTCACTGATTGACGCTCGGCCGGTTTGATAACCATTCCGCTCAGCGGAGCAGGACTACGTCCTATTTAAGGCAGCCTGCGGCTAACCTGTTTTTACACTATCTCTCAGCCATTTATGTATTATTCCACTCCTAATACAACTACGTCTATTCTTCTTAGAGTGGCATCTCTGATCGCCTAAATCTCAACTCTGGAGCCGCCAAGGGGTGATACCACTACAAGTGGTATCGAGACCCGAGGCCCGCCGTGCAGCCCTTGGCGTCACCCTTTGGGGTACATTAGCCTGTAAACGCTTCGGGCTCGTTCGCCGGGCATTTCGCTGCTGCAGTACGGGACCTTCGACAGCCCTGACGGTGCGCCTGTCATCGTATGGACCTACTAACGCGATTCACCCGACGAATCGGCCGTTTACACATTAACCTGAGCGACGACTCCTCAACGGCCTCGACCGGCCTAACCGGGTCGCTTACAGACTGAGCTGGAGGAGGTGAAACGTCAAGTAACCGAGTTAATGTAAAAGGGGGTGATTCGCCCTAGTGCATCCCCGGGGGCAGCTCCGATCCTCTTCGTGGGAAAGAAGGATTGAACGTTACGCATGGTGGTGGTGGTGGATTGTCGAGGGCTGAATACACAAACGGTTAAAAACCGATATCCGTTGCCGCGGGTAGATGACTTGGTGGATAGCTTGATCACCTACTCCTCCATCGAGACTTACAACAGGGATACCACCAAATTAAGATTCGGGATGAGGATGTGTTTTGACACGCTGCGTTTCGCACACCTCTAGGAGACTATGAGTACGTTGTCCTGCCGTTCGGGCTAACAAATGCCCCAGCCACGTTCCAAGTGGTGATGAACCGAATATTCCAGCCCCTTCTCGGCAGGCTTGTCGTGGTTTACCTGGATGAAATCCTGGTGTACTCCCGAAGTCGTGAAGAGCACTTAAAACACCTTGAAACCCTGTTCGAAGTGCTAAAACGGGAACACGGTTACATGCCAAGTCGTCAAAGTGCCACTGGGCGCAAACTCAGATTGAGTACCTCGGTCACATCGTTAGTGCCGACGGAGTTCGCATGGATCCTAAGAAGGCGAAGACTGTCCGTGAGTGGCCGTTGCCAAAGAATACATCCGAGTTACGGCAGTTCTTGGGGCTTACGAGCTGTTTCCGAAACCTCGTTAAAGCGTACGCTTCACACTTTCGGCTCCCCACAGAGATATGTTACATGATCACGTTCCGGACGGAAGACTGGACACCTAAACGGGTACAGGCATTTGAGATGGTGAAAAACGCGTTGGCCGACGATGTACTGCTAACCCGGTACCCGGACATGACCTTTCACGTTCTAAGTGACCTCTGTTTCACGCGTCCTTGCACGGTACGGGTGCAGCCCTACTGAAGAACGGAGAACCAATCGCCTTCACCAGCAAAAAGTTCCTGAGGAGCACCTCTCGCTGGACTGATCCGCTGGACTGATCCGCTGGAAGGTCTGAAACGGATTTCCCACGCTTCGCGCATATGAAGGGCGTTATATGAAGTGGAATCCTGAACGTCTGGCGAAGATGCTGGAACGTATGTGGTCCCGTCGCAACTCTACCGTTCCCTTTGGTCGTTAGCTTTATCACTTGCTGTGTCTGGAGTGGTGGGATGGTGCGTACAGGCGATTAGGAAGGGAGCTCTTCTGCCCTCGATGCGTATTAGGCGGTTTTTACAGGTACGGGGTATGCACTTCCACGATCCTGCAACGTAGACACATACACAGAACAGGTTGAAGGTAAATGTGAAATGCGATATGCATAATCGTAAACGTGTGATGCAACGCATCACACGCAACGTCACCTGTGACGGTTGTTAAGCCGCACCTAAACGCCAAGGCCATACAATGACGCGACAGCAGTACACCCGAGTGTCGTTATTTTCCTACCTCGAATTCCTGATGATAACCGCCCAGGTTAGCAAGCTTAGGGATCCAGATAGCCCAATTAGTCCAGAAGGTCAAGACGTTTGCGCAGGGCGATTGTGTGAAGTCAGCAAGGAAGAAGCTTCGACCCAGGCAGCATGGCAGAGGCAGTACGAACTCACATACCTCGATCAATGCGGGATTTGAACCCACTGAAGCCCCCGTGGGGTGGACCGGGAGCGTCCCATGCCCTACGAGGAGTACGCACCTCTCACGCTCTCCTAGCCGTCGGGCTGATCACCCTCGGGTGTTAGTACGCAAGTGTTGGGGCTCTCCCGTCTCACGCCCTGCACCAAGGACTCTCCCTTTTCACGCCCTTATTGGTGGTCCAGCTCCTCTTCCCGGCCCCCCTCTTAACTCACCTCTATAGGCAAGACAGGTAACCCCATATGTCTATCACGTATATCCACATGCAGCCCATTCACATGCATGGCAACGTCCATACATGGGTGACGATGGTGGCCTCGAAACCGACGTCGTGCGCGCCTCGTGGCCTCGAAGCCGACGCAGCATGCGCCTGCGGGCCTCGAATGCCTGGATGCATATGGCTACATGAAGATGTAGAGATACTGATGTGTTGTGTACGAATGATACCATTTGATACCATCCTCTTCTCCAACCCATTTAATGCCCACCCTTGCAGCCGAGGACAACACTTCCAAGCAGCCAGACCACCGAGCCATCAAGCCGCCGAGCCGCCAAGCTGCCAAACCGCCAAGCCGCCAACGTGCCGAGCCGCCGAGCCGCCGAGCCATCAACCCAACCCCCGAGCCACCCCCCTTCCCCCGAGACTACTCACCGCCTAGCCGGGCAACCGAATTTCTCCCGACCTGTAGTAGCTGGCCGCTGAAAAGGCCTCTCGAGATGCTGGTGGTCGCGCTACGCGCGTATTTGTAGAGCCGTACTGTGTACCAGCTACTACACGACCATATCCCGTAATCATATACTCGTATGCGTGCGTCGAAACCGAAGCCGTCTACGCCTTGCAGTGTTAGCACGTAATAGCGGCGAGAGCCGACAGGTTACAGGACGGATTCGCTCCGTCAAGGTCTGGGCTCTGTTCTGAGTAAGGGGCATTAGAAACTTATGCCTCTAGAATCTCGCTTACTGGTATATCGAAAGATATCCATCCCAGGCTTCCTCCGAGCATCAATACTCGTTTCCTAGGAGGCCGCGACAACTTCTATTGTACGATGTCTCTTCAGATCTACATCGGTTGCTCAAACCGATGTGTCTGTAGGAATCTCAAGTGCGTGTCGTTCCTAATTAGGAAACACTTATAAACTCCCCAGATATTCGTAGACGGTTCGTAGATCAGTCTTTATCAAGTCGTGCCTTAATCGCTTTGCGATGAGCTCTGTAACGCTCTAACGCGCTACAACAACATGAAGCCTCAAAGCCGACGTCGTGTGCGCCTGATAAACTTGAAACTGACGCCGTGCACGCGTGGTAGTAGCCTTAAAAATGCGCCGAGCCGCAGAGGCACCGAGCCATCGACCCAGCCATCACAAGCCATCCATCATCTCCCGACTATACTCACCGCCTAGCTGCCAGGCCGATCTTCCCCCGACCAAACCCCGTAGTCGTATACTCACATGGATGTGTCCTTGATAGCTGCAACGATGGCTTCCGTGATAATGCTTGGCACGGCAGCGACCTCGCCAGTCCACATCAACGACCAACAAGATGGTGGTGGAAGGGGGGCAGTACAGGTTGTTAGGGCACGGTATGAGAGAAAGAAAGCCGTGCTTAATAATGCAGATAGGTTCAGCTTCTATGAAGCACGCATGTGAATGCATTCGTCACAACAAGATCCAAGTACCAATCCCGCGCTACACCAATTGCATCAGTCCCAGCACACAAGGCACCACGCGCAACAGAACAGTCACGTCAGGCTGACAGCCGGCAGCACTGATTTTGTTTTGTCGCTGCATTCCTAGAGGCTTTGCTACACTGCGCTGATACATCTGTTGCTGCTGATGCTGCTGTTATTTCTACCAGCCGCCAGCCAAACATGACTGTAGAGTGTCCACGGCCGCGAGGCACCAAAACAGACGGACACATAGGGCACAACTTGTTGTGATGCGGTACGACACGGTACAGACCGGTATCCCATTTATAAGGTTTTTCAGTCTGGGCTCCAACCCACCGGAAGAGGTGCTGGCAGCAGCGCCCGCATGATCCAAAGCTAGTCGTTCAGGGCACGACGGTCGCGAACTTCAATGGTGCGCTGAGCATGTCTTGCCGATGCAGGACCACACGACGGAGACCGGTCTGTCAGCTCTTGCATAGGGCGAGCCATGATGATGTGGAAACCCGATTACAAGTGTGCCTTCACTGTTGTCGCAGCCTCGCGCGGCTGAGCTCGGCGTAGTAGTCATGTAGTTGGCCTAGCTCATCAAAAAATGAGTCGACAGTCGACAGCGCCGACGGTTTGCGTATCAGACCATGTCGTCGCGCAAATACTGGTTTTAACACAACCTAGCTTAGAGCCTCAATAAACAAGCTTAGAACTATATCGTCTAAGATTAGGGTTTGACAGTATCTCTGGAAGGTGTGAGCACCTGAAAGGCTGAGCAAAACATGCAGGCGTACGAGCAAGGAAAGATGGATCCAATCCTGAAAGATTGAAGGCCGACATCTTAAAATGGAGCAAAAACCTGGTACACAAGTGAGACAAATTCATTCCTGAAGTCATGGAAAGAAATGTCCTGAGCATGTCCTCAGGACATTTACGCAAGGCCATTGTGTGACGTCAGCAAGGAAAGAACTTCAGCATGGCAGTGATACATCGATCACTGTGGGATTTGAACCCACTGAAGAACCCGTGGGGTGGGCCAGGGGTTCCCATGCCGTACGACGAGTCCGCACCCATCGCGCTCTCCTAGCCGTCGGGCTGATCACCCGTCTTAGGACTGCACAAAAATTGGCGTACGCAAGTGTTGGAGCTCTCCCTTCTCACGCCCCGCACCAAGGACTCTCCTGTCTCGCGCCCCGAACTAAGGACTCTCCTGTCTCGCGCCCCGAACTAAGGGCTATCCCGGTTTACGCATCTATGAAGCTCGTGTGCAATCCCAGTTGGCCGGTAAAAGTTAGCCGGTTGCCAAGAACTCTCTAGAAACTCCAGTATAGCTAGAAGCTCTGAATGTCAGAGCTGAAGGTTTAAACCGGAAGGCCAGGAAACAACGAAAAGGAACTGGAAAGGCTTGGTAGACAAAAAGATTTTAACGGCCTGCGAGGGTGAACCGAACCATGGGTCACTTTAGGCCGAATCACCGGATTGACAGGAAAGAGGAAGTTGTATTTCAAGCCTTAGACTTCCATGGCGTTCCACATATACAATAAACATCTTTATCGGTTGGTGTTATGTTGATGCGTCCAACATGGTCGAAAGTGTGTCCCAAGTGGCGTAGCTGAAAGCTGAAAGAAAAATACAGCAGTTACTTTTAACAAATGCCATATAGCGTTCGATGATTTTCAATTGCTAAATACCTTTTGGTGGAAATATTACAAGCTTCTGAATTATTGTTTGGCGTTAGATTTCCATGTATTCTACGAGGCACCCGCGAACGCACGATCCGCTCTCGGGCATCCTGTGTGAGGAACCCAGCGGTCGCGGCGCAGCGGCTGCACCCGAAGGTCCTGAAGGACAGGGTGCTGCCTGGGATGAGGTGCTGTTGGAGGACTTTTCGCTTGTGGAGGCCCCACCTTCCTGGGTAAGAGGTTCGCCAGTTACTGATTATAGAATCCCTTAAATAAAGGAACTGGCAGAGTGCAGGTCTGCGCTGGTTGATCGGCAGCAACGCCTACGGCAGCAACGCCTAAATCGTTCTAGCAAGGAAGGCATGATTAGTATATGTGCGTGCCACCCTTTTGCCAATCCGATGTGCTGTGTTGGGGCTTCTTTCGCGGCCTGGATTTTCCTACTTTGTAGTTGTCATCCAAACGCCTCCCCCACTTTTCCAAATGCTTGGCAACCGTCTCCACTTTGTGATAACACATCTCGGCGCCAAGGAAACCAATTGTTTTTATACGGTGTATGACGCAATTTAAGAAGCGACCGTAATTAGCAACGCGCCATGTTCTCGATGTTCGGCATGTTCGTGCAGGAGGCCATGATCAAAGCCACCATACCAGTATCTACCCCCCAGCGACCCGACCCGGAGGACGGCGAAGAGACAGAGGGCAGCGAGCAACGCGGAACTAGCGATGAGGAGAGCGATGACGATGATAATAATAATAGTAGTGGCGACGCCGGGTGTGCGGCCTCTGCCAGCTGCAGCGCCGGTGGCGGCGGCGGCCCCGACGGCAGTGGAGTGCCGCCACCAGCGGCACTGTCGAGCGATAAGCCTTCACATCCTACCACTAGAGCTCCAACTGCCGGCCGTGATCCGCCAGCGCAAACCTCGGCTGCTGCCGCCGGCGCCACCACCGCTCCGGCAAACACCACAAGTGCCGCTCCTGGAGCCCCTGTAGCTGCGACGGCTGGGATTGTGGATCCGGCGGAGCCGTCCGCCACGCGGGGGCTGGCGGCTAAGCCGGCGGCGGCTCCCCAGCTGGCAGCTCGGTGGCCAGACTTCGCGCGCCGTCGCGGCGCGGGCGTGACGTCAGAGCGGCAGCATCTTCTGGCGCGTCGGCGCACCGCAACGAAGCGGCCCCCGTCGCCAGATAGTACGCCCCCGGGGGGGGGTCCCACCGCATCCAGGAGGACGGCGGCGGCGGGGGAGGATGACGTCACTGAACGCAGACAGCCACGGTACGAAACGCGTTGTAGCAACAACATCTAACTAGCGTAATGCCGCACAGCGCCATTTGATCTGTGTTGTGCAGTGGGCTCGGTAACGGCGTCGACGGATGGTAAGCTCGAAGTAAGGTCCGTCAGGAAGACGTTTCTGATCGCTGACGTTGAGTACACACAGTCCCGACACAATGAATACTTTACAATACAATTATTTTTCTAGGTATTGCAGTACACCGCTGATCTCGCTGCATCCGATCCCGCTGCATCCCCCCTCCCACATGCCTCAGTGGGCCGTTCTGGGCTCCGGCTGCTCGGGCTGCTGCACCTGCTGCTGCACCTGCTGCTGCACCTGCGGCTGCACCTGCTGCTGCACCTGCGGCTGCACCTACTGCTGCTGGCAACTTTCAAACCTATTACGGCACGTCGACGTTCACTTCAGCTACCCAGCCCACACCGGTACCGTCGCCCGCGCCCTTTTCCACGACTCCGTCGGCATCAACCAAGTCTAAGACCAACTCCGAGCTCAAGGCCTTCCAGCTGCTGCTCGAGCGCACCCGTGCCTTTGACCGCCTTGTGTTGAAGCTGGTGTTCGGGTTCTTCTCTCTGATGCTCGGCGGTGTGGCCTGGGTGGCATTTACTCTGGGCAGGCTGCAGGCGGAACTGGCCGCGGCACAGCAGCAAGTGGGTGGGCTGCGTAATGAGCTTCAGGTGGTGGATACGCGCTGGCAGCGCGCTCATGCGGCTCTGGTACGCGACATGCATGAGCAGCAGCAGCTGCTGCTGGCGCTGCCGCCACGGAGGCATGAGGAACCCGGATGTGTCATTTGTTAGAGGCACCTCTGTGCCATCACCTCGGGTGGCTTGTCATCGGGGCAACGCCTCCATGTGCCGCGCCGGCTAGAGAACTACACGGGACGAGAATGTATTAGGCCACAAGGTACGATGGGTGACGAGAGATTTAAATTTGAAATGTTGCAGTCCTCCCAATTGTTGTTCTGGAATAGATAGTTCCAGATTCGCTCTAAGCCACGGAGGCTGATGCGGATATCTCACAAGGTTGGTCAGTGCTTTGTCAACACCGTGGTCTCACGTGATGGACACCGCGCTGAGCTGGGAGTAGGAACTGTCAGGTGCTGTAGTCGGCGGCAGTGGCCATTGTATATTTTTTTTACTTTTTTCGATTTCGTTTGTGGCGGATTATGGAATTAGGTTCCTCTGGTGGATTGCGTTTTGGGTTGCACATAGTGTGGATGGCTGTTGCAGGTGATTGTTAAAACGCAGGCGTACGGTTCCCTAAACTGAATCTGACTAAGGTAATACGACAACATAATGGGGATACAGCCCTCCTGAAATGAGACGTGATGCGGTTCATGAGGAGCCAGAATGGCTTGGGTGCAAAGCATGCAGGGGTGAGCTCCTGTGAGCTACTGTGGTGTAGCGTAACCTTCCCGGAAATTGCGCTGTCCCTTCCATTGCGCTGTTAAGCTGCCCAGCTCCAACCGCCTTGAACAGCCAGACTCGTCCACATCCACCATGGAGTGGACCGGGTCACCGGAGCTGCCTCCCTGCCGCACCCATACACCGCATATCAAGGAAAAGCCCCTAAACGCACCAAGGCAACTCTCCCACCACACCTCGGACAGTCCCAGGTAGCATCCAAAGATGCTACCTGCGCAGCAATCCGTTCTTCCCAAGGAAAGGAAACCCCCTATCCGACAGCGATATGCACACAGCGACCAGCAGGATGGAAGTCACATGGAGGGGACTCAGCCAAACGCGAGCGAGCTTTCCCATCAGCGAATAATAATCGCGGTGTATATACACCCGTCCTCCACCTCTCCGGCAATTTTGTCATTGCCCGCAAGGTCACACCAACACTACACAGTCACTCACACAACCGAGGCAACATCCCGGTGCTACACACCCCAATCCAGATGCATCAAACAAACGCTCCCCAATAATCTTAAGACCCACTCCATCTCAACTTCGAGTCCAAAGCCCCGGCCCTGCCCTCCACCTCCTCCTCCACTCGCTGCACTATTACAAAGAATACGTCGGGGGCTGTACACACATGCGCCCCTCTAGCCCCTATATGCACTCATCCTCAAAAACGCTCACCAACCTGTACCCGCCTAACGCAAACGAGCGCCTGCCCTTCACGACAATAGCCGTAGTCTAACACAGCCCAACGCAGGTGTGTGTGCATGAGTGCGTGTGTTCGCGCGCGCGCGAGAGAGAGCGCCATCCGCAGACGAACGCCACACCCAGGCCCGGAGTGTGATGCCCCCCGTGAGTCCTTGTCGCGGGCGCCCTCATGCAGCGCGACCCAGGAACGCCACATCCCTAGGGACACGGAAGCTGAGGCACAGCATGAGCTTGTTGGGTGCTACGTCCCGTACGGTGTGTACGGAGCAAGATCCCGGTTCCAGTGGTCCGCCCAGGTAGTGCTCGGCCTTGGCCAGGATGTCTGCGGGTGTGGATGGGCGTTGGGTAGAGGGACGTGAAAGGAGGAGCGGGCTCAGAGAGCCCGCCGGGATGCAGACCCCGAACCAAAATCCTTCTCCCTTTCCGCCACCCGGCCACCCCACACTCCCTCCCCGACGTTAGCACATTGCGCACCATGACGGCTGCTGCGGCTTCACATTTCCTTTTCCGCAGTGCTAGGGGGACGCGTCGTGTATGCAAGACAGGCAATTCCTGTATTTAACCTTTTAATACAGCACTCGCAGGAATACATACATACATACGTACATACATACATACATACATACATACATACATACATACGTACATACATACATACATACGTACATACATACATACATACATTCCCTGCAACGTGAAAGTGTGAAACGTCTCCCCCGAGCTCGCACACCCACCGGGCTACCCACCCGCCTCCGTCTCCGCAGCCCTTTTAAATGTGTAGCAGTGCACCCAGGGCAGGGACCTCTCCGACCAGGTGGCGGGGTCGAAGGCGCCACTGAGGGCGTCAAGGAACTCAATGGCGGAGGCGGGCAGGTTCATAACCAAGTGGTCGAACACGACACCACCAGCGGGTGGAGCAAAGCACTCGGGAACATCCGGGAGCGACCCCAAGTCCGCTGCTGACGCCGATGGTGTTTGCCGTGCGCGTGACGTCTTCAGCCGCTTCGCAGGGTTGGCAACGGCGGCGACGGCGCCGCCGCCACCATCGGGCGCCAGTGCCGCCACTGCGTCCCCAGCTGCTGCGGACAGTTGCTTTTCCTGTTGCTTTTCTTGTTGTTGTTGTTGTTGTTGTTGTTGCATGCGTGCGCGTCGCAGCTGTGCGGCTGCTGTGCCGGGCCAGTCGCACAGGAGGCGCAGGAAGGCGCGGCCATCCATGTTGAAGACGTGGAGTCCGGAGGGGCCCAGGCGGTTGAGACGGGCGTTGACGGCCAGGTAGTGGGCGCTGCGGGGATTCAGGTCGTTGGCGTAAACCTGCGCCGGTGAAAAGGGGTTGGGGTAACCAATTTGAAGAGGGCAGAGCGTATCTGAAACTGGCCCGAGCCGGGACCCACTAAGCGGGTGAACAGCCAAGGGGATGGGGGATGAGGATCATCAATCTATAACGATTCTATCAAGCCTTGCTTACCAACCGACCCCTCTTATGTGTATGACCTTTTAGGAAACACTTTCTTGTGCATGAGGTTGAAAAGAGCCCCTCACCGTGAGCCCCTTTTGCGCCGCCGGTATCGCAAAGGGCCCTATGCCCGCCATCATGTCGACCAGCACCTGCCCTTGCTGGAAGGAGGACACCAGCCGCAAGTGCTCCGACTCCAGACGGGAGTTCCAGTATACCTGGATATGGTATATTTGTTATGTTGTTGTGTTGTGTGGCGTGGTGTGGTGTTGGGGAGGGGAGGGGGTTAATGTTAGAGGAGCTGGAGGGGTTTCTCATTCGGTGCGAGGATGACTGATATGAGGGCATTAGACGACTGGGGTACGGCATACGGCGTACAGCGTATATGACGATGCGGATCCCTCCCCCAGCCCCCCTACCCCCCTACGGACCCACCTGCGAGAAGTCCAGCCTGAATCTGGCCCCGTGTTGGGTGACCTCCGTCTCCAGTTTCTTCTCCCCCGCTATCACCTCCATCTCAAACACCCGGTACTGGTTCTCAATGGAACCCAACTGATTGGGTGGGGGGGTGGGGGGAGGAAGAGGAGGAGAGGAAGGGGGAAGAGGTGGGCGAGGAGGGCTGGGAAGCAATCAAGGAGTGCGGGAGAGAGTGGCAACCCGGGGGTTGGCGGCCAGTGAGGAAAAGGGAGGTCGGGGCGGTAGGGGAAGAAAGCGATGGGGGACCAGGATTGCTTGGGTACATGTAATGGGGGCGGTAGTGGACCGGCATGCGTATGTATGTCGCCAGTTCGTAAATGTATGCAGGCGACCTCGCCCCGCCGTCCCCACCCGCACCTTGTTGACCACCGTTTTCAAGTGCGGGTTCTTGTCCAAAAGTACGGTGCCTATGAGGTGGCGGTACGGCAGCTGCTCGTCCCTCAAGTTCAGGTGGGCGATGTGGCCAATGGTCTCAAAGGAGCTGGGCGCATCCACTCCGGCCGGTAGTAGCCGCTGGAGCCGGGCGGGCGGGAGGGAGGTGGGGAAGGCGGGCGCGGGTGCGGTGCGGGACATGGCGCCGTAAGGGGACATGAAGGAGGGCGGGAGGGGGGGACCCGAGGGGCCGGCGAGAGGGAGGGAGGAAGGGTGCGCGGAAGTCTGCGATGCGAGCAGCTGCCAGGGTCGGGCGGGACTCCGCACTTCGGCAGATGATGTGGGTCAGCCGCAAGCAGTCAACGCGACGTGTGGACGGGAGCTGTACGGGCAGCGGACGGACAGCCCATCGACAAACCCGACACCTTCGAGCCCCCCTTGATGCGTTCCCTCCCCTCCCCTCCCTCCCCAGCTGCGGATGCTCCTTCAAGCCCTCTCCTTTCCCCCCCCCCCACACACACAGCCCGTGTTGGCGTTTGTATTCCTCTGTGTCACAAAGCGCTCTTCTGTTCCCCCGACGTCATATTTCTCGCAGTCACCACCACACTGCACGACAACACCAGCCATGCCTGACCGCACACACGTGCACTTCAAAAACGAATGTCAACACGCCCCTTCGGTAGGTACCTTCAGGACGGCATCTGTGGACAGCATCGAGTAGTCCAGTACGACAGGGTGGTTGGTGGTTGCGAGTGTCACCCCCTCGGCCTGCATGCGGTTCAGCAGCTCGGGGGGCAGATCTGCATTTGGCGGGTGGAGCGCGGTGTGTGTGTTGGGGGGGGGAGGAAGAGGGGTAACGGGAGGTGAGGAGAGGTCGTGGGTTGAATTGGGTGGGCTGGACGAAACGGGGTGTCTGTAAGGCCAGGGAAGGGAAGACATACAGCTGACAGACAGACAAACAGACGCCAACCAAGCAAGCTGGCGATACAACAGGTCCGTAAAACCCCAATCCTGAACTCCTCAACGCCGCAACGGTTCCAAACACCCATCACCTTCCAGTTTTATGTTCTCATCCAGTAGCAGCAGTTTAGTTTCGGAGCTGTCACCATTTTGGACGATGCAGCGCAGGCGAGGACGGTCCAGCGTAAACCTGCCGTGCACGGTTGCACAACGTCCGTTGTACACACATGCCGAAGGCGATCCATGCAGGAAGAGTGTTCGCTACAAGGCAGAACCTGCTCGTGCTACCAGCACGGTGACATGTAGGGTGCTGCATGCTGGCTGCGGTGTGGGCTTGATTAATTCCCGCCCAGGGCCCTCCGGCTTTTACCGGCGCAGAGCTTGTAAATATTGCTTTGCTTTTCACTGCGACGTTGGCTCCAGCAGATATTGCAGTTCGTTGGTGGCGCTGGCGTGGGGGCTTGTGGAAATTGACAGTTAGACTTTGAGCGAAGGTGACACGCTGACACCGTTACAACTCCGCAGCTGAGCCGGTAGCCGTTTGTACTGCAGCCATCTTACCCGCGAAATGCCTTCATCATTTCGGAGCATTTTCGATTTGGAACCCGGAGCGCGGTGACGTTTAATACTTGTCTGAACGATTCCCTGTCCAGCGCTGGGACTTCGCGTGCGGACGTTGAGGGCGCCGTAGGTGCGGCGTCGATGGTGGTTGCCGGTACAACCGCTGAGGACTCCATGGCTTTTGCAACGAGGATCGTAGTTGAGCGGGTGTTGAAGTTGACACGTAAGGACCCGTATCCAGATGTAAAAATAGTAAGTCGGTGTGTCCCTGCAAGCGCAGTCCTGTAACTGTTGGCGGCGCTTACTGAGGCGTTAAGTTTCGCTGACAATCCTCTAGCAAATGCGATGCTAGCCGGATGTATTTCGTGCAACAGTAGGCGCATTAGCGGTTATTTCGCAGCTGACCTTGTCAACAGTCACAGCCTTTTGGACATGTCTGTGTTGTCTAAATGCGGTGCATGATATGTCCTTATATAAATACATAACTTCCTCGTAACCGCGGAGGAAGGCCTTGGTTTGGGCTGGAATTTATGAATACATGTATAGTACAACTAATTCCTTCCCTTGGGAACACTGCATCCAAAAATTGCACTCCTTTCGAATTATAAATCCAGGATAGTACTCATACGTCTCAAAACATTGGACAGCCACTGGTATTCAACGGGGAACACATATTCGAGTCTCATATCACAGGACATCCCGAGCAACCTGGAGCACGCAATAAAATACGAAATTACTTCCCAAGTGGGTGGGGGAGATTAACCGGAAGTATATCGTATTGTTACGAGACGAAGGCCGCTTCTCCGCCGGCTCCGGGCGACAGAGCGGCTGCCAAACGTCGCCGGCTCGGTAGCATGGCACAAGCAGGTATTGGACCTCCCTCCAACTTTTCTGAAATCAGCGAAAAAAGTGAAGCTTTCTCCTTACCGGAAGGACCCCTCATCGCTGGTCGCGTTGGCGGGTTGAGGTCTGCCATTATACACATCGTTCCTGGAGAGGATCATACGGTGGTGAGGAAGATCTAGGATGCCTAGACGTCTTCATGAAACCTGTCCCTGGCCTGCTGCAAAGCTCCCGGTTTCCTCGGGGCTCAAGGTCTTCCCGTCATGGCCGCAGCATTCAAGCGAAGGGGGCAACGAACACTTGTCGTATGGACTCGCTTGTACTCAGGGCCACCGGACGGGCATGGTGCGTTACTCATGGCGCTGACGCAGCGCCCGTTGCGTCCGACATGAAAGCTTCCACATTGTCTGATGTTCCCTGGGGGTTAGTTCACTGCTCGATATTTGGGCACCTAAGATTTTGGGTCGACTTGCGGTGTAGTCATGTCATGGACCCGGGCCACCGTTTCGAGACCACCATCAGGCGCGTTTGCACGCAGTCGCGTCGCCGCTGGCACCAGGACTGGAATGTCTTCTAATGCTTTCTTAAAAAACGGTGGCTCTCTGGTTTAATTCTGTAACCGGGACCCAAACTGTCGGTGGGCACCGTATCCCCGCGCAACCAGTCTTATCCCTCCGTTAGCGCACTACAACGCACCATACCGACATGTAACTTCACACTCTGGATCCCGCTCCTCGTACTAATTCCTCCTCAGGAGGACGCACATGCAGTGGAGCTGGAGCTCGATCCCACAACGGGGACGGCGCTCTTTGGCGTCTTTGATGGCCACGGCGGTACGGGGAGCGGGACGGACAGGCATGGGGCCGCGGGGGAGGGGGAGCGGGGTAAGGAACCTGCACCAAGCAACCTCTGCCGCAGCTACCTGCTGGGAGTAAACGGCGGGGAGAAAGTCGCGGCGAGGGAGCGAAATATGTCGCCAGGCGCACCAGGCAGTGGGGCAGCAAGCCCGCACAAGCAAAGTGCAGCAGCAGCAGCAGCGGCAACAGCAGCAGCAGCGGGACAGTGGAGTTTTTCGCTGTCAGTTCCGAAGAGCCAGAGAGCTGCAGAGAGCAGCTGCAGCAGCAGCAGATGCGCACCGCGTACAGATGATGGCAGCTCCAGCTCCCATCCCCCTGTGGGTCCTGTGGTCACGTGTGTGGCAGTATTGGCGGCAGAGGCGGAGAGAGCGCCGGAAAAGCTGAGTTAGAAGCTGCCCGGACACACAGCTGTTCCCCGCCCCTGGTGGGGAAGGGGGAGACCGGTCAGCAGTAGAGGCGGTGCCGGCTGGGTTCGTCTGGGGATCGACCACAGCTCACAATCCCCCCCACCTGTCCACCACGCAACCCTCTACACCGCCCTTAACCTCACACCGCCCTGGGCCCCACCCCACCCCGCCCCACTGTTGGGCTGCAGGTCGTCAGGTGGCGGATTTGTGCGCCATGAACGTGGTGGGTACATGTGTATGGGGGTTGACGTGGGAAGAAGGAATGGAAGACGTACAGACAAACGAAGCGACGGAGTGGTCTGTAGGTATGGATTGGCAGCTGTGTGGCTGCTGCTGCTGCTGCTGCTGTGCCGTAGGGAGGGAGGGGGATGTGTGTGATGGGAACTGCGGATGAATGGGGGAGGGCCGGCACCGGAGCCGCAGTGGGGCGATGGGCGCAACCCTCCACGGTGGGCCCGGCACACCGTCGTGGCAGATTTAAGCCAGAGATGATCGATGTACACCATGCCTTTGTACGAGGTTACTACGGCAGTACACGTCTTGCGCAGCAACACCCTTCGTCGCAACGCCGGGGACATCAACGCGCTGAGGATGACTCTTCTGTACATATGATGACACGGCCAATAATGTCGGTAGTAAAGTATACAGAGCAGTTGCGTTATGCGGCTTTGGACTCCTTCAGCACTTTGCAGCTTTGGACGTGCCGGTTGCAGTTGTTTTTTCTTCTACATAATGCTACTCTTCATCCCCCCCCCCACACACACAACACACACACCCCCACACACACCCATCCGGGCAGGTTGATGCTGTTCGCTCCAGTGCCGCCTACCAGCGGGGGGACGTGTCGGAGGGCCTCCGGGAGGCGTTCTTCGAGCTGGACAACCGGGCGCTGGGGTGCTCTTGGGCGCACCTGGCCGGGGCCACTGCCACGGTGGCTCTGGTGCGGGGGGACAAGCTGTGGGTGGCGGGGGTGGGGGACTCCAGGTGTGTGCTCAGCCACGCGGGTACGGCACAGGTGCTCACCAACGACCACAAGCCGGATGACCCCAAGGAGCGCGCGAGGATACAGAATGTGAGGGGGGGGAGCGGGG